CCAGACCAGAATGAATTAGGGGGGGGGGGTTTTGAAGTCATTAGGGGGGTATAATAGAAACTCCAAAGGAATTAGGGATCCCCTTGACATCCTAGGCTTTGGTTGATTTTGATGTGGTTTTATAAAGGATTTTAAATACAAGAACTGAATGTGACTTGAAATGATTCTATTACAGCTTGAGCCGTATTTAATTAAATCTCATTTGAATTTCATTCGATTTCAATTGATTTTATAAGGAATTTTAATTAGGTTTCAATTGAAGTTAAAAGCAGTTCTAATCAAATTTCAATTGATTCTGACGGGATTTTAATTCAATTTTAATTGATGTTAAAAGGAATTCTAATCAAATTTCAATTGATTCTAACGGGATTTTAATTCGACTTTAATTGATTTTAAAATCAATTCTCAGCAAATTTCAATTGATTCTAACGGGATTTTAATTTGATCTCAATTGATTTAACAGGAATTTTAATTCAATTTCAATTGATTCTAACGGGATTTTAATTCGATTTCAATTGATTTTAAAAGGAATTTAAAGGCGGCCCTACCAACTCCTTTCAATAAATATGCCCCCGAATAATAAATAATTTCTAACACCCCGGATTATTTGTTATTCGTTATTGGGGGGAAGCGATTATTTTCCTATGGTTTCTGTGGCTTCCATGGTTTCCATGGTTTCAAAGGTTTCCGTGGTTTCCGTAGTATCCATGGTTTCCATGTTTCCTATGGTTTCTAAGGTTTCTTTGTTTCTATGGTTTCCGCGGATTTGAAGGGTTTTCAGGGTTTGCCGGTGTAAGTATTTTTTTGGAGTGTACTGGAGGGCCCAAAGGGATGGTACCCTTGGACTAATGGGGCGAAGCTTGGACTCATGGATCGATGATAAAGTAAATCAGAACTCCTCACAGCCTTGGACAAATGGGGCTTAGCTTGGACTCATGGACTGGGAACGATCCTTGGACGAATGGGGCGAAGCTTGGACTACTGGGGCGATGAAAACATAAATCAGAACTCGTCACGCCCTTGGACTAAGGGGACGTAGCTTGGACTGCTTGGACTAATGGGCGATGATAAAATCAAGTATCTTGTGTTCCAAAATTATCCCTTCCGGTATTCGTGTTCTAAAATGGTGCTAATCGGTGTTCCAAAATGACGCCAATCGGTGTTCCAAAATTATTCCTCCCCCTTCACATTGCACCCTCGGCCTGGCACTTCTTGATGCAAATTTTCAAGTTGGCCCTTGGCGACCACATCCACACTAAGTGCAGAAGAATTGACCTGAGACAGCCTGCCTGCACAACACAGGAGCCTGTTACCAACCACAACCAACACTGCTTCAAAACGAAGACCATGTCTACATCAGAATTTGATTCAATCGCTTCCCACCAGGTCAAGCAACAACGTTCAAGACCAGAAGGCAGGGCTCGAATTGCCTAAAAGCCTTTTGAAATCTTTGGTGCTGCCTGCTCAAGACGATAAAGTGGCGAACTGCTCTTATAACTTCCTAACTGGCTGGGGCGCAGTCCTCGAGGGGAGGGTACTGCTTGGCGCTGAATTGCCGAAGGCATGAGCTCGCTTTGATTGGCAACTGTGCCACCGATGAGGCTGCAGTAAGGCTGCACTTGAAGCATCTTCCTGCACTTCATGAACTATAATGTACTAATAATATAGTATAATGTGCCAGGTAAACTCTGAAACCCCTTGTCTGAGACGCACATGTTCAACTTCCATCCCGCCCGATAGATGAGGCGAGGCTGACAAGGGATGTTAAAGTAGTTGGCAGTTGGCAGAAAGGAGCATCCCATGCATAGGCTTACCTGTAACGGCCGGGCGAGTCTGGCGCCTGAAGCACATCTCAGGTAGTCAGCAGCTATCGTGACGCGGCGGCATGCGGTATAGCTGGGGCATGTTAGAATATTTCAGAGCTTAAGCTTCTCAGCTTGTGTCCACCGTCGTTGGCGCCCGAATTGTTAGGTTTTGCCCAGGCGAATGAGAGGTTTTTATTTTCAGAGGGTCGTTAGATGTGGAGATTTTTCGTGTAGCTCGCTGACGTCCTGAGGAGACGCGGTGGATCCTAGCAATCCAGACCCCTGGATGCTGGACCTCCTCCGGGTGGGGTGCCTTGAGATGCATTGAGCGGGTTGGGGGCGTGGGGGTAAGGTGTGCCTTTCTTCAGTGTTGTTCCTGTGCAAGAAGCTCAGGTCTATTCATCAACCCCAAGAAAGATTTGCGTAGTCAAGCAAGAAGCAAGGAACTTGATAATGCACACTGGCTTGTGCAAACAGCTCCCCTCCCGCTTTCTGTGTCGCCATCATGATCTGCTACTTGTAGGACTTGTGAGATGGGGCCCTAAACCCTAAACCCTAAAACCCTAAAACCCTAAAACCCTAAAACCCTAAACCCTAAACCCCTAAACCCTAAGTTCAGGGCTTCAGATGAGCAGTTAAGCATCTTGTTGGCTCAAAGCCATGTCTCGCTTTCATTTCATGTCTGTAAGACAGGGCCAAGCAACTGAAGTTTAGGGTTTAGGGTTTAGGGTTTAGGGAGGATCCCAAGAACTTTCCTAGTAAAGTGGCCTTGAGTCGTAGACAACTTTGCACATCTCGGTTGTGTAGCTGCGAAGCACAGCATGGCATCTTCTAGTTCTGTGCAGCTGCCAGGACATCCCGAGTTCTTTTAAATGAAGCACACCTGAGCCTGTTTTTGGTCTGGAGAGGGCTCCCTGCCCTTAAAGTGCTTGCTCATTAAAAACACACCTGTCGTGCCTCATGCCTGCTTTGTGAAAAACTGTTCATTGAAGAAGCGGGCCCGCAACGTAGAACTCAAATCTGCTGCAATTCAACAACTGAACCTGAACCATTGTGAAAAGCGTGACCGAATCCTGAGGCAGCTAGCTGTGATCCTCGGCAATGCTCTCTTCATCCATGGTGGGCTTTATGATGATGCGCTTGGTGTCTTGGCCCTGGAATCTTCTGTGGAATGCGGAATACATGACCCCCTTCTTCGAAGCACATGACCCTCCACTTCATCAGATAACCACCCAGTGCAGTCGGCAAGCCATTAAGTGATCATGCGACCGCTGTTCAGCAGCTGGTCACTGAGGGGAGGGGGGAGGGGGGAGGGTGCAAATTGCTCACCTCCCCAGCCATGGAGCCTTGTCGGTGAATTAGGTGAGTGTAGGTTCCAGGCTATCCCATGGTATCGCACAAAGCAGGCGTGAATTCAGGCTGATCAAGCTTTGCAGTCTGGCTTGGTGTTACCATAGGTCAAGCAAGTCTGGTTCTGCACTTGCGCGGCCTGGCTGGCCTTTGTCTTGGTCTATCCGAGGCGCTGTGCCTGGTGAAGAGCTGCTCAAGGAGTAGTGGCAAGATTGAGAGACACTTCGGTTGACTCGGATGTAGCACCACCTTACTCTTGTAGCAACATCACAGGGGCCTACAGTATCAACATCGGGACTGTGCTGACCACTGACAAAAGATCTGACCGTCTGAAAACGGTCCAGAACTGTGGCTAGCACAGTCCTCTCTGTATCGACCACTTGGCTTCTCGAGCCTCTGCTAAGAGCCCAGAAGAGTTGCAACGTGCCTAAGAGTCGGTCCCTTGGTGCTCCGGCTCCAGTTTGCTCTGTCAGGCTTCCCTCTTCATGACGTAATGATGGAGCTGGAAACAAACAAATGAGAGCGACGACGGCGAAATGGCTCTTTGACAAGTGCTGACCTTTGTGATGCTCGCCTGGAGGATACCATGAACTCCTGGGCGGCAGCCCTGAACGAATGGAAGGACAGCAGTGGCCTCTTGCTTTCAGGTTTGAGGCCTGGGCTTGAAAGAAGGAACCGCAAGAGCAATCTTGAGCTGTGTTGTGTCATCACGCTTCGCATGAACTTGGTGTCTTGCATCGCCATCATGAGGATGCTGGTTACCCACCCAACAGTAGGTGCAATCTGGAGCCATTTCAGTTAGAGAACGCATCAGTCTGGTCGTCTTTCTCGACATGGCAGCAAGCGGGAAGTCGTGAGAGCTGTGCTTCGGCTTATCTGTTTCAAAGTTAGGTTCCGGTCTTTAAGAGTTCAGAGTGAAGCCGTCCTGGCGTCTATGTAGATATAAAGGGTCAGGACATGCCAGTGGTCTGAGAGTACAGTTTCGCCCTGCAGGATCCATGCCCCCGCAGCAGCTGTTACTCTATACACGGTGACTGGAGGATAGCAGAACTGCAAGAAAATCTTTTACGCAACAACTCCATGATCTCGTTGACTCCCTCCCGGAAACACTCACCCATGCAGCAGAGCACATTTGGTACAGGTCTATGCTTGCATAGATAGCCTGATCCACTTTGCATGCTATTCCTGCTCTTTTTCGTCTTGCTCATGATTTACAGCCTGAGCGATGATGCTGCTCAGCGGCCTGGTAGCGCTTGGCACCAAAACCGGCGATTCTGCCGAGGCCTGTGGGCGGGCTCTGGCTGTTGCAGATGTGTAGAGCCCGATTTCTTGTGAAGGATGTTTAGGCCAAAGTCATCCTGAGAGCAGATAGAATCCAGACATCAGCAAAATTCATTGTCATAGTAGATAGCCGCATCCTCCCTGAAACTGACGTGTATCTTCTGAGTCAACCCTTTTTGTGATCGTTCACGGTACATGGTTCTTATTTGGAATTGTTGGCATACAGTACGACCTCAGTACATCGGGCAATGTTGGCCCAGAAGCTGCAGATTGGGCAAAGCTTGTCAAGCACACACAGAAGCAATGGTTTTGGGATTCGTGTGTCGGAGTTCCTGATTTTGATGACGTGAGATGCGTCATGTGCTGGTACATTTCCATGTCAGCCTCGATTTTCACTCATTGTCCAGAGCATGACGAGCATTCCCAAAGCTTATTTCCGGTAGGGATCCCAGCACCCCAAAATGGGCTGTCACGGCTACGTCGACACACCCTGTACAAAATCCAGAATAGGCTATGATTTTTTTCGGCCTCATCAAGCTGGATCTTGAGAAAGCAACACCCTGATGTGGGCCAGGAGCCAGGCATTCATATCTTGGCAGCGCTGCCAAGCGAAGAGGCGACAATGGGTAAGTATCTACTGCCGGAGTCATGATGATGACGCTTATTTGAGGATCTTGTGTGAACCCTCGGTGAAAATGGACTCATTGCTACTCGGCACAGCAATGTGAAAACAGAGTTATTGCTACTTGGCACACTGAGTCCAACTTCGGATATCTTAGAACATACTTGCGCCTTGCTTTAGTTTCGGGCATTTGGTCAAGAGTCCAAATGCGGTAAAGAAACCCATTTGGTCTCTCTTGCAGTCCCAGCTCCCCAGCTACCCCGTGAGATTTCAGGAGCTCCCAAAAGAACATCGAGAACTGGTACAAAAGCTGCCCAAGGCAAGTTGCTTTACGGCGTTTCCGCCTTCTCAGTCTGTTGGGATTGCGACCCATGATGATTGTACTAATTAACTGGAGCAACAGACGTAGAAAGATGATGAGTGGATGTCGTATGCCCTGAGGCTTTGAGACTTTTTCAGCAAACCTTACTGGTTCTTAGTAGGGAATAAGGGAATATAACCCCTATACAAGACAACACATATATATATATCTCTATTGCTACATGCCCATATTTCCGATAAAGAACCAGCAAGAAATGGTAATGGTGAGGCATTGCTTCATCGGAGAAGTGGCAGCGCCTCGCAGCTAGTGAGTTCAACCACCCGGTGTTTCTGCACAGTGGTGGCAGAATCAGACAAGCGCTACTATGCACCTTGAGACGGTTTCAGACTCTTTTGGGACTGGTACTTCCTCCAACCTGTCATTGTCACATGATACAAGGTATGTCAGTGCCATGCTGCAGCCAGTGTTGTTGCGCAACTGCCAAGACCAATGACCCTTTCAGGGCCGCAACAGAGGCCTATGACTTGGACAAACCTGTTGAGATCCGTAGATTGGGTACTGCCCCCTCACTAACAGTTGGATATTAAGTATAATAGGGTTACATATAGCCCTTAATTGGACCCCTAATATAGACTGTTACAGGGTGGGGGCAGTACTCAATCCATAGACACAAGTAGAATAGCATCCTCGGCCTTTTTCGACTTCCCAGTCCTGATCACAATTTCCCTGACAACACGACCTCATTCAGTGTATCATCCCTTGCTCTATCATAGTTCCATACTCAGGGCGTTTATCGCAAGGTGGTTGTGGCGTTTAAGGAAGGGGAGTGAATTCTGTCTCACCTGTACCCAGGTGGCCGCCCTTCGCATTTGCCTGGGCCAAACCCCGGCCGAAGAAGTGCCTGTTCGTCAGAATTATTGGCAATGGTTTGCTAATGTTTGCTGGATCACTTCGGGAAACTAAAGAGAACTTTCAGCTTTGCTCTTGGCTCGAGGCAGGAAATGCTGTCGTGCGAATGTGGCGTAGTCGAGACAGTTGGGGAAGGTTTCTCCCTCATGCGTTGGAGCGCGGCAAGCTTTACGAGCAACGAAGTTTGTACAAGATATTGCGCAAATTTCACGAAATTAGGGGTACCCTTTCGGTGGGTCCCCATACCCATATGGAGGTCCCCCTAGTCATGAAGACTACCATATGGCGCAGGTTTGTGTGTGCTTCTGGTCGCTGCATCCTGAGGCGCGCTCGTGATTTGCAAGGTCAGAAGAGGTTTGGCGGTTTGGCGTACCTGCTTCAAAACGAGAAAAGGGAATCGTGTGTAAAGTATGTCTGTGCAGTTTGTTGATCAGCCCTTCCAACTGCGTCACTTGACGGACCAGTCTCAAGGAGATTGATGGGGCCTCTGTGAGGCCAAACAGTTCGCTCACTGAGCTCATGTCTCCTTCTCCGGAAAATTGCGTACAATGCACATTTTCTTTCGGACATTGTGTGCCAGGTGGTAAACGTGACGTTCGTCAAGGGCCTCGCTAGCCTGATGGCCTCAGCCATCGAGCCAGGCAGCACTTTGCACGATCCTCACTACCTGGTCCAGCTATGGGCGTGGCTTCTGCGCAGCTTGTTTGATGTAGCTTCAGGTGCTTGAGTCGAGCTAGCTGAATCTTTAGAAAAGCTTGATGCGGGGTGGTCCTTACTAAAGGGGGAAGATTGTCTGGCTTGCGCAGCCGGGAGGGACGGCCCTGGAGTCTTGTTAGCTTGGGTGGAATCTGAGAGGGGATGCAGCAAAAGGAATTCAACCAGAAGCAGGCAGCAAGATGGCATTTCTGCAGGTCCCGCTATCCACTATTCCAGGACTCCAGGACACTATCCAATCTTTCTGTGTTTCGCAGTGAGAAAACAGTTGAAGGTTCCCCTGGCACCGAGGTGAAGTGCCCTTGCCCCCCGCAGCCTGCTCCCTGCACCTCAGAGCCTGGGTCGCTGTTAAGGAACTAAATTTAAGTTATCTTAAGTTACTATAGTGGGGATACCATATTAAGTGCTATATATACCCATTATGGCAGCCTGATTTACGGTACTAATTGGGATAGCCATAGTGATTACTATATATGCGCATTATGGCAACTTGATGTAAGTTCCTTCACAGCAACCCAGGAGCTGGAAGATCTGAGCAACCTGGAGCTCTGGGCGTCATGGCTCTTGGCTGCGCAGCACCGCCCCGTGGCTTAGCATAGGGCCTGCGTGATTTCAGAGGTTCAGGACATTGTTTCTTGTTTCATTGAGAAAAAGGAGGATGTTGCAAGCTCTGCAAGTGCATTACTGTACTGTTGAGGGGTATGACCAAAGTAAGGGAGGCTCCACAGGCCAGGAAAAAGAAGCGACGCCAGCGTTGGGCATGCCTACGTTGTAGCAGCTTTAGGCCCGCTATACATTTGGTGCAGCCAGCTGGTTGCAAGCATCTCTAACTGGTTTCTGTACATTCTTTGTCTAAGAGCAGGACCGATTGGCGTATCCTTGTAGTGACAAGTTGAGTCATATGAGCTATAGTCTAAGCTCCAAGGGGGTTATTTTGAGGATTATGTAGGGAGTATTATATAGGGGTTAGAAAGGGGGATACTGGGAGTTTCAGACACTCAGGACCTCATTGTTTTGGTTGCATGGGCGGAGGGGGAGGGGGGGGCGACTGAAAAAACCCAAGGACTGGCTGCGTACCTGTGCCGCATGTGCCCCTGTGTCTGGGTTGCCGTTATCAAACCTAAATTGATTTACCGTAGTAAGGAAACCCCATAATCTACGATATGCTAGATACTGAAATTACGGTCACTTAGTTTAAGTTCCTCAACAGCAACCCAGGCGGTTTCTGGTGCAGCAGTTGAGCCTATCCTCGCTGATGCAGCTACTTCGCCTGGTGCTCCTGGAGCGGAAGGCCACCCTGGCACTTGGGATGACCAGCAGTCTACCAGGACCCTCCTTGTAGCCCTAAATTGGGGATATGTGGTCCCTAATAGTGGGTACTGAGGAGGGTCTAGGTACATTGGTAGGTGCTGTAAGTATGGAGGTTTCTTCATTCAAGGCGGAGTGTAGACCTTTAAGAGCGCAGCAGTGAGCTGTGCTACGACGCAATTACAGTGCAAGACTCATACATGTTGCAACCTCAATTGCATGCAAGCCAGAAGTCCTGGAAACTTTGAGGCCTCAAAACCACAAACAAGACTAGTCCAAACCCTGAGCAGTTGAAGTACAAACCTGAACTACGTCAGAGGAGCCCTGCCCACTGAGGAGGCTATGGCTGTGCCATGCTATGCCCCTGTTGACTTACATTGTACACACCACTGAGGCCGATCAACTTCTCATCCATGTGTGCAGTGACACTGACTTCAAGAGTTTTCCGAAGCAGAGTCCGCAGATG